TAGGTAGGGATTTCTTTTGTGCTTTGATTCTCAGCAACTATGGAAATACTTCCTGGCAAAATAGGAAACAGAACAACAAAGGAAAGAAAAAAAAAAAAAAACATAAAGTTAGTGGTCATGAAGGATGATGCACTTGACAAGAGCGAATTTCTTTCCTGATCAGCAGGTCGCCTGTAGCCTTTGGGGGTTTTCCTTAAATTGCAAATTGTGCGGCAGCAGATCCCTTTGGCGTTGAAGGTGGACTGGCGTGTCTTGCTCTTTGCAATCGGAGAGATGAGTCACCAGGTTGAGTAGAAGGGGAGGGAGGGGAGGGTAAAGCTACTCTCCTAAGAGAAAACGTGTAACACTTATTCACTTAATGACACTGGAAATGGAAAGGTGTCAGAGACTTTGCAATGTGCTGCGGTATGTTCCTGGTAAAGGAGGAATTGCTACTTTAATAAAGCAAACAGAGGCTGTGCTTCATACCCTGTGGAAATGGGACCAAAAACCAAATGACCCAAAAAAAAAAAATGCACTTAGATCCTTTAGAAGTGAATAGACAGAGTGAATGCTTCTCTGGACTTGGAGACAGAAAAGCCTTTTCACTTTTTAACCCAAAGCAATTGTGCATTTATCACCCTGTCTCCCTGAATAAAAGAAAGTGCACTGTGAAAATTGGACACCAGCTATGGCTGCAGTTGTTGTCATTATCTACAATATGAGCCAGTCATTGCATTTAAATTTCCACTTAATATAGCCACAGGCCTTTCCCATATCCATTTAAAGAGAGGGTTATGTTTCCATTTACACACTCAATTTTTTTCCCAAGTAACATTAAAAATTTTATGTAAAGGCCTTCTAGGTGGTTTGGCATTATTACATTAGAGTGAAGCATGAATGGTTATATAATAATTTATCCCTCTTAGTCAGCAATGCTGGATCTAGATGGAAACATTTACAGCTTCAATTCCTGATGCCAACAGACAGGAGGAACCAAGGAGAGAAATGGATCACCGATGGTGGCTGCCTGGGTTTGTCTAACTACCTAGAAAATTTCTTCTACAATAAGTAGTAGGTCTTAGCAAGTGAACTTCAGACTCTCTACACCTAGCTGTTGGAGTCCCATGCCTACTTCACAGGCAGAGAGAGCGCTGTTGAAATAGGATGAAGTCCATTTTAAGACTTCTGGTAAGGGACAGTCAAAAAAGAGGAAGAAATTTGCCAATCTGCTCTATACTAGTCTAACCCTCCATTGGTCTCTCTCGGGATGTCCCACTCCCTGGACGTTCTTTAAACTTTATGTCTCTTTTCCTCAAGTTCCCAGGTCCCGTATTTTTTGAGGGAAAGTTTCTAGATTAATTTCCCGGGTTATCAGGCTGGCCACTCCCATGATGCTGCTCCTCTACTAGTGTTCTGGAGCTGCATTGCCCTCCTTAGAGCTGCATCTGCTGGGGGCCGCCATGTTTGGTTTTCATCAATACACATCCTATCCCTCAAACCTTGTCTGGCCTTCGGGTCCACCAGCCCCAGCCTCTGAGGCCTTTCTTTCTTGTGTATTGTTAGAGCCAATGCTTTGTTCTTTGCCATAATCATTTGAAGCCCAATGTTTTAGGGAGAGTTTTTGCAAAAAGAGGAATAAACTAATGAGAGAAAAAAACTAGATAGGCACAAGAAAATTTTTTTCATCCTGATGGAAAGAAGCAGGGAAAGAGGCATCTTAGCTATTTCTCTTAGGGGTGTTAGAGAAGAAGAAAGTGGTTATGTCAAGCCAGAAAGGGGTTAGGGAGAGAGTCAGCCATTGCCTACTCAGGCTGAACAGCTAATGGCTAAGGAATCATTTACCTATGAGCTGTGATTCCACCTTCTCATCTACAAGCTGGCCAGGCCTCCTTAGTTCAGTCTGAGGGATATTGGGCCTGCTTTCAGAGTGACTGACTGGACTGATCATCTCTTGTTCTTTCTCATTCTGCATCTGGGCATAAACATTAATCCCCGGGATCTTCCTAAAACATTAACAGAAACCATCACTGCTATGCACATCACTGTGACGCATGCTTCTGAACCTGTCAGGGAGAAGGAAGAGGTAGGGGAGACTCGGATGGAGGGACACGCACCTTTTAAACTTGTAGATGACGAACACCGCCAGCCCCACAAACACCACTGAGAGCAGCATCAGCATGGCGGATCCACTGTGGGCTGGAGTGAGGTCCACCAGTGGCGCTAGAGGAGAAAACAAGGCACAGTCATGAGCAGACACTTGGTGGGTGAGACTTCGTGAGAGGATCGAGAGGTTCACACACAGGCACAGTGAGTCCTGGAAAACCACGTGGGGTGTACACACAAGATACATATCAGGTGTCTGATAAGGGATGCATCTGAGCCCGTCACACCCCAAGAATGGCCCAGCTGGTCTGTTCGAACTACAGTGGAGTCATAAAAAGCACAGACCCTGGGGCCAGACTGCTTGGTTTCAAGCCCCACTCTACCATTCTACCACTTGCTGCTGTGTGATCTTGGGCAAGTTACGTCACCTTAATGTGCCTTATATGGTAAGATTAAAGAAATAGTAAATCCTCCATCTGGTTGTTAGGAGGATTAAATGAGCTAGTGTAGGTAAAGCACTCAGAAAAGAGTAGGGTACATATTAAGCCCTTTGTAAGTATTAGCTTTTATTTCTACTTCTGCTAATATTATTATTAACCCAATATTTATAATGATTATTATTATCATATTTTCCTATACTCTGAATGTAAGCTTTGCCCACTAAACAAAACAGATTACCAATAATACCACCAACAGAATATTTTTGTGAATTAACTAATCCCTCTCACTCCTACTCCAGCAGTTGTCAGATAAGAAAAAGAATTTGAAAGTTGTCATATGTGAGAGAGAGAACAGCAAGGTGATGGAGCATTCTTATACTTTTGCACACAGAAAACTGATGGCTATGTGAATATTTTACAAGGGCAGCCACTCTGATACTGGGGGAGGGATGTGCAATCTGCTTGTCTCCACAGCTTCCCAAAGCCCTGACAGCCCACACCAGGAAGCTCCAGCCTCTCAAATGCAGGAAGTTCTCCTCTCAGACAAAACAGAAGCCTCTGCATCCATAAAAGAGTCTCCCTCCCTGAGTTTCCCTTTAAAGGGCCATTGTGGAAAACATCTCTCTCCACCTTCAACTCACGGTCAAACCTGTTGTACTTGTAATGACTTTGTTTGCAATTAATTTCTTCCTTCTTAAAAACTGACATTTTGCAAATACAGCATAGTTCAAGCATAAAAGACAAGCCGCACATACTCCATGGAAGCCTGGATGATGACCTTTACCTTCCACCAATTTAAGCAAAGCCTGATACCCAGAAATGCAGGTGACCTTTTAGCACCACTTTCTATAGCTTTTCTCTGTTGAGAGCTGAGAGGGCAACGTTCTTGTTCACCCAGCCAAAAAGTTCAAGAATAAGTGACTATAATACTGATGACCTTAGGCAAGACTCTTGGCTGCATCTGCCCTGTCTGGTTTGTGTAGGATTACATCCCAGCCACTCAGCAACCACACTGAAAGCATATTCTGCATAACCACGTAGTTTTGGTGAAAAACGAAAGCCAAGTCATCTTTCTTAGAAAACAGTCATTTTAGGAGAATCAGCTATAGGGGGGCACTGAATGTAAGGGACCCCACCCCCATTATTTTCTCTCCCCTGTAAGTCAAGCTGCATTTTCGCTGAGAAGTGGGAGTGTTTGAGTTTGTGCATGAGAAGGCGAGTGCGGTCCCACTGCAGTAGAACACCCAAGGCAAATTTCCTTTAAGTTGGAATTAGAAAATAAAGCTCTCAGTGCCAACAGCAAATAAGTTCAGAAATACTTCAGAACTCGCACTGCAACTGGCAGGATGTCATCAGGGGAGGAGAATGCCTTCCATTTGCCACACACATTATCACAATTAATTTTCACAAATGGAAGGCGGGACTATGATTCCCATTAAACAGATAAGAACAGTGAAGTTCTCAATTTGATAATTTCAGAGGGAGATACTGGAAACTTAAAGAGATATTTCTGAGAATGAGGATTAAAGCTAAGACTAAAGCACAGAAAGAAAATTAACAAGTGGCACGAGTTAAAATATTAAGTTTTACAAGGAGTAGTTAGAATCATAAATCATATACTCTTAAACATGGAAGACAGGTATATGTACAGATACATGTATAAGTGTGTATTCATGTGTGTATATGTATTTATACATGTGTGCATATATAAAGGAGGGAGAGAGAGACAGAGAATAAAGAATGAACTCTCATGTACCCCCCACCCAGTTTCATCAACCAAAAGCCAATCTTATTTTATCTCTACCCCCATCCAATCCCCAACTTCCAACCACTGGACTATTTTGAAGCAAATCTCAGATATCATAACTCTAAAAGATCTCTCTCTCTCTCTCTCTCTTTTTCCATATCTTAAAGGAAATCTTCTAATGCAAACCAATAATTTGACAGGGAACAAATGGAGGCCCAGA